AGGTGGAAGCTAATAAATGCAACAGAACTGTATCTGTACTGTCTCATGGAGTTCTTTGGGCCGAACCTGACAATTTGTATGTTTTAAATAGTAGCAAGAAATCCATTTCTTTTCTTATAAAGCACTTCTTTTAAATTTCTGCACAATACATATGATGGAGGATATTTTTATCTAGCAGTGTTTCACAACCTTAGCAGCTTTAAGATCTGTGGACTTCAACTCTCAGAATTCCCCAGCCAGCTTGAAGTCCACCGATCTTAAAGTTGCTAAGGTTGAGAAACACTGCTATATAGCCACTCGCCATTGTCATTCCACAAATGCTTCCCAAACCTTCAGACTTGGTCTGGCAACACCATATTACTGTCCTTAGTGCAACTGTTGTAAAAACTCAGAATGAGCATATGGAGGCAACAAGCATTCTTCCAGCTGAGCAATAATGGATGGCCAACATCAGCCTCAAGCCAGCACCTTGCCTTGCACTGCATTTATTTTTGCAGTGAAGACATGAAAGAAATAGTATGTATTGTTAGTTACAAAACTACTTGGAAGCATGGCATGATGACATTGGGATACTTCAGCAGGCTAACAGCTATGGAGGGGAAAGGTCCAAGGAAGCAGAGACTGATGGAAGTTTCCATTAATGGAAATTGGCTGCCCCTCAAGATTACCAGAGCTCCAGAATCACAAATTGCAAAATGGAGGATTCATTGTTTGAGCTGTACCCCAGCTGATCTGGGGGAAAAAAAATGATAAGCTGCCCAACAGCAACCATGACTTCTTGCTAAGTTGCCAATCCAGAACAACACCAAAGCTCACACTGGAGTTCTCTCTTATTTATCAACAAGAAACAAAAAACAAAAATACAGTAACAACCACTCTACCACATATGTGTGTAAATAAATTTTAAAAAATTTAAATAAGGCTTACCTTGGATATTGAAGAAAAGGTTTTATGGTAGGTGTTATTCATGAGTTGCAATAATGGATCAAGTTGAACATTAAACCAGGTAACAGTCTGATTAAGCAAGAGATTATATCTTTAAGGAATGCATTTTGCCTACTTATTGATTTCAGATGTAATGAGTAAAAGTAGAGATGCGTAGAACTCATACCAGAACTGCAAACTCTGACTGCTATCAGGAATAATAGGAATTTTTACAACATGTCATAAAAAGGATGATTTCCAGCTATGGAAAGCATTGAATTAATGCACAGGTCTAGTAAGGTGACTTGCTGGATCTGAATTTTGGCCTCTTGGTTTTCAAAATATGTATGTAACTGATGAGTACTCTCTTTTTTTGTGTTTTAGCTGCTGGATTAAGAATGACATTGTATTTTACATCACTGTTGTGGGATACTTTTGTACAATATTCTTGTTGAACATCAGTATGTTCATAGTAGTACTGATTCAGCTTTGTAGAATCAAAAAGAAGAAGCAGCTTGGTACCCAGAGGAAAACTAGCATACAAGATCTCAGGAGTGTTGCCGGCCTTACATTTTTATTGGGAATTACTTGGGGATTTGCCTTTTTTGCGTGGGGTCCTGTAAACCTTGTTTTTATGTATCTCTTTGCAATTTTTAATACTTTACAAGGTATGTGATTTAAGTATCTCACAATAGACTGACATTCTTTAACTGTACAAAAATGAATTATTTCACTCTATTTTATTATTTTGCTTTATAAAGTATTTAATTCAATCAGTTCTATACAAATTCTGAACTGCATTATTGTTATATTTAAGTAAATCCTTTTGAAAACACAGAAAATCACATAAGCCAACTTCATAGTACTGATATTGTAACTTAGACATTGTTAAAATGCAAGATACTGTGATAGTGAAGTAAATGTTATTTTTGTTATATTACAAACACTGTTAAAACTGTTCATCCCTAAATATGAACAGGGGTATCTGTGGGGAGGGGTCAAAAAAGTCAGTGTGGTAATCATCACCATGCAATCAAAGCCCCACCCCGTTGTACATGTGTGTGATGTCAAAGCATATACAAAAGAGCTGGGGTGTTGATTGTGCAGACATAGCTGCCATTTTTACTTGTTTTGACACTCCCTCCTACAGACCCCCCTGATTATGAAGTATGTATATTTAGGGTCAGTAAATGAATGAAAGAAATTATCAGGCTAAACATGCAGAGAAAAATCTGAAACACCTGTTGCAGTGTTTCTTAAAGTGTGGTCCTAGGACCCTGTGGGATCCTCCAATACCCTCTCAGGGGTCTGCAAAATCAAAATTATTTGCCAGCCTATGTTAAAAAATAATACAATATAAAAATCCCATCAAACAATTGTGAGAAGTGTAGCAGCAGCAAATGCATCTGTTTTAATTTTTAATATGTTAAATATCAATAAATATAACCCATACAAAGAAAACTCTTTTGGGGTCCTCCATAATTTTTAAAAGTGGGAAGGGGTCCTCCATAATTTTTAAAAGTGGGAAGGGGTCCTC